ACGGTTTTTGGGCCGAACAGTTTGACCATCCGAATCAACAATAGTACGAAAACCTTACTTCTATATGCCCTCGTATTAATGAATTGAAGGAGATTGAGACATGTCAATAAACGAGAAGATCTGTTATGTGTCATACCATGCAAGTGTTATAATAGACGTAGCTGCAGGTGCAAGAGAACTGTTCATCTTCCGAGTCGAGTGAGTTTGTCTTACCGAGTTGGACTCACTCGTGCCTTAACTGCTAACAATGACCATACCTTTTCGACGTGCTTGAAACTTGCTAGATTGAAGCAGTCCGGTTGAGAACGATACGTTTAACTTAAGGTGGGTATTCACTTGCTTCACACAGGCTTCGTCCCGCTAACAGACTTTCGAGTTCTGACGTCAGTTTCCCCTCCGTAAAAATTTTAATATTTAAACACCTTACCAAAAAACCCAACTTACAGGCTTGATGCCGAAAGATGATTTCTCATAAATTGGCCTCACATAGGATCGATGATTTTAAATCAGTCAAAAATGGATTATTGAAATCAGTCCTTTTTTAGAATTACGTGTTTTGATGATTTTTTAATTGATTCCGATTTATTGAGGATGATATAACATTCAACAAAGCATTAAATAATAACTCTAATACAAAAATAATTGTCCTTGAAAATTAATACCAAACACATTCAAAGCCGATTTCTCATAAATAAACATGGCAAAAGTAATATCAAACAATAACTTTTGATAATTTACCAGGTTATAGATTTGATGTTGGCATATATTTGCATTGAGGAGAATTAAGCAAAGTCCCAACCATGATTCTCGCGGCTTCAACTTCTCTATGACAGAGAATTTAATCCTTCTTCCGTTGAATTGGAATTCCCTGCCAATAAAATACATTTCAACCATATGTGGTGTTATTGGTAGAGTGTTAGAACGTGTTTTATTGAAAGGTGACCCGGACTCTCTCTCGTTACTTTTAAATGAACTCAAAAATTAATGTGTCAGCTTATTACAACGCGGTTGGGTGCTTAATCCGCAAAAGTGGGCACCATAAGAAATGGGAGAGGAATCGAAAATTTAGGAATGGGCCCGTCGGTATCACTTGGGCCGAGATTCCGTTTCCCTATGAGTAGGAAGTTAGGTATTTAGTTGGAGTGTGTCAGTAATATTGACACGTTGAGTTCCAATTACTGACGTCTTTTTTGGTAATTACTGACGTGTCTTGTTGTCAGCTATCGTCCAGCAATTATGTATGAGACTGGATCTCCTTACACGCACATCCTATCATGCATTGGGAACATCTGTCGTACTTATTTATTATTCATGGGAGATGTTCCCAATACATGGTGGATCTGCATGTGAAGCGCCCATTTGTGAGGAGCAGATCTCGTCACATTATCTATAGCTCCTATCTTCCAGCATTGCTCTCCGAAGCCAATCTCGAAGAAGACATACAAGGGGTGTGGAAGCTGGCAGTAGGGGTGAGCAAAAAAGCCAAAAAAACCGACCAAAACCAAATCAAAAAATCGGTTAATCGAACCGGTTGGTTCGGTTTTGGTTAACCATTTAATAAAACCAGTGATTAACCGAATCGACCGATATATATAAAGTAATCTATATTTATATAAATTATTATTATTTTTTTTTTGAAAATCGAATATACACTTTCAGCAGTAGACCTTTCAGACTTTCTCTTTGAAAGTTTCAAAAGGAGCTTTGAAAATCAAAAATGAAAAGTTTCAAAGAGAAACTTTGAAAGTTTCAAAGAGAAAGAGAAATTTTTGGCCTTGCCAAAGTGCCAGACTGGAGATCGTTAGTCTTTCAGTCTTGAAAATCAAAAAGTTTTAAGCTTTAGCCCTTTCTTCTCTTTTGTCTCGGTGGTTTTCTTTCCACTAGCAGTTTCTTCGAATCACTCTCAATCTCTCAGACTCTCAATTTCTTCCCCAATAGACCGACGGCCTTTGGTGCTCCACCCTCCGACTGAATCATCGACGATTGGCATCTCCTCTCAGATTCAGCCTCCACTCTCTCGGACCAGTATCTGGCGTCTTCTCTGTTCTCTCAAAATTGAAATCTAAATTTCTCATCTCTAAGTCTCTCTCTCTCATTCGATACTCAGACTCACTAATCTCTTTCAATCTCTTCTCTCTGAGTCCCTTCTCTCTCAATCTCAGTCACTCATCTTTCTCAATCTCTTCTCTCTCTCTCTCTCTCTCTCTCATCTCTCTCACTCTCAATTCACAGTTCATTCACTCTCTTTAGACCATCGGCAGGGAAGGTTTTCCCCTTTTTTTTTCATATTGAGGGCATAAAAAGCCTGAAAAACCGAACTGCGGTTAACTGGTTAACCGGTCAGCCAGTTGCATCGGTTTAGTTTCAATTTGGCTAAATTGAAAAACCAAACAATTCAATTCAGTCCAGAAAATCACCTCAACCGAACCGTGAGCACCCCTAACTGGCAGCCCTAGTGAGAAAAAACTTTAGCTATTGGGGGTCAACAGCTTATGCTATTGAGTGAATTTCTGGAAATGACATGTTATTATGAGAATGGATAAAGTAATAATTACATCTTAATTTATTTTCATTAAAAACCAAAGCATGGGCGTGAATTGATAAACTGCCCAGAACGTGCCCAATCCAGAAATTGTCTCAACAGCCTATGCTGTTGGGCCCCCACAGCCAAAGTTAACCCCATCCTGAAGGAGATCACGCCCTCCAACGAGTCACCCTCCTCGTAAAGGGTATTCCTTTGCTGACGCGATTTCCACTACGCCTAATGGTGTAACCTTAAGCTAAAATCTGAAATCAGGGCCTTTGGATGTTCATCGAAGGAAAAATCAGCTATCCTAGAGTAACGCTCGCTTAAAACAGTCAAATGATAGCCTTTGACTTTTACACACAGGCCGGATCGAATCCTATATATCTCTCCATGAATAATAATATATAAATACTGAAAATGTTTCTTATATACAAGTGTAGTTTTTATGTAGGTAGAGGTGGGTAAATTTCTTGTCCGCAGGAGATCCGAGCACTTGTAATTCATATTTTTTAGCCGAATGCTAATATTTTGGGCGTAGCAGATACTTCAAGGATTTGAGGTTAGATGGACTTCTCTTCCGATTAATAGGTTGGATAGTCCAAACACTACTAACCATGAAGTTATGATGAGTAGTTGAAGACTTCACTAGAATCATATATATTGTAATTCATTTTCTAAATTCTAATGGCATGCAAATATGATATGTTCAAATGTTTAGAAAAAATGAGTATCTGTTTGGAAAGTCTTTTGGGACACGATTTTAACGTTTCGAGCTAGGTTTACTAGGAGAATGCCAGAAGCTATATTTGATGAAAATCTACTAAGCATGCCAATTCCAAAACACAGGTCCTCGATCACCACAGCTCTATCATTGCAATTCACTTCGAATGCAGAAGTCATACTAAATGGACTCTGAATTTGGGGTTCATATAAGTTTCTTTTGGAGAAAACTTTGGCTTCTAAATTGTAGGTGAATCACATATTCTTGGTGGATATTAAAGCCAATTCACCATATATTAAAAACATTTTAAAGAAACATGGAAGTGTGGCTTCACCATCCACCTTATAAATCAATTGTACTTACAATTTAAAAAAATCAAAAGTATTTTCTCTATTTTCGATTTCCCCAATTTTTATACGAATATGGCTTACCAGCTTGGTCTAGTAGGGGTGTTCACAGGTCGGATTGGGTCGGTTTGAGTCATTTTCTTCAACTAATTCAACCTAGTTGGTTTACTTATTGACTAAACCAAAATCGACCAACCCTGAAGCAAAGGTCAGTTTGGGCCAGTTTATCAGTTTAATTGGTTTTTATATATTTTTTAAACTAAAATATCTATTTATATTTAAGTTTATTTCTTTTTAGTTTTTATGCAAAATCAAAATAAATATTTAAATCAATTAGTTTTTTATGTAAAACTGATTTTTTTGTCAATATATATTTAAATTTATACAAAACTGAATTAAATATTGTACCATTGTATTATATTTATATTGATTTTATTTTTTAGTTTTTATCATAAATAACCAATTTTTTTTCAAAGTTCAAACAAAACACAAATAAAATATATCAACATTTAACATATAGGGTAGGGACTAATTAATTAAACATATAAAATCGGTTCGGTTCGGTTTGATTTCAACCAAACTGAATTGTTTGTTTATTTTCTCATACAAATCGAAACCAACCAATGGTTTTGAAAAATTGACCAACTCAAATTGGGTCGGGCTGGTTTGGTTGGTTTGATATTTAATACGAACACCCCTATGGTCTAGGTTTTGAGCTTAACGCTTTAAGCCATTACGTGAAAACCCTCCCAAACGGACACTTAATTGGGACACTTAATATCTCAATAAAAAAGTTTAGGCTCCCTTTGCAAGAAGTACAAATATATAGAGTACAAAATCTTATATTTTATATTTGTATTTGTACTCTTTCTCCAAATTGAGCATTAAGAAAATGTTAAAAGTGAAGGAGCGATTCTGAAAATACAAGAAAATACACATGTCACGCTGAGGTGGTGCCGTGCTTACTCAGCGTAGATTCAGAGAACTCCTCACTCCTCAGCGTATAGGTTGATATAAAAACTCCCAAATCACTCATCTAACACTCGGGATGGGGGACGGTGCCTTAATTTGCATTTGTTTTTAATTGTTCATTGATCATCAGCTTCCCATCCATCCCTAACCTAATCTCATGGCACCATCCAACCAGGTGGAGGTGATAGAGTTCTGCAAAATCGCTCCACCACCTCACTCAGTCGCTCCAGCATCACTCCCTCTCACCTTCTTCGACTTAATTTGGTTACCCTACCCACCCCAACAATTCCTCTACTTCTACGAATTCCCCCATCCACTCACTCACTTCACACACACCCTCCTTCCCCGCATCAAGCACTCTCTCTCCCTCACCCTCTTGCACTTCTACCCATTCGCCGGAAATCTCTCATGGCCAGAAGAATCCCCCAACCCCATGGTCCACTACAAGGATGGGGACTCAGTCTCGTTAACTGTCGCCCAGTTTGAAGGTGGCTTCCACCGTTTCTCCGGCAACCAGGCGAGAGAGTCGAAGGAATCGCATTCTTTGCATCCTCAGTTATCAGTGTCTGGATCAGCTATCCCGGTTCTGGCATTACAAATCACTGTGTTCCCAAATTCTGGTATAAGCTTTGGATTTTCCTTTCACCATTCGATTGCCGACGCCAGAACGCTTACCCATTTTATCAACTCATGGGCTTCAATCTGTAAGCTTGGAAAGCCATCTTTGTCAACTGAATCTCTCCCACTCTATGACAGGACTCTGATTAAGGATCCAAAAGGCATCGAGAAGATATTCATGAACCAGTTAGCAATTTTTTTCCGGTCCGAGTCCGGAGAAAGAAGATTATCAAAGGTGGCGAATTATTCACGCGCATCCAATGCAGTCCGAACCACATTCCAGCTGAGCAGAGCTGACGTTGCACGACTAAAGGAACGTATCTTGGCACAGCACAAGAAGGACAAGCGATCACAACCACCTCGTCTGTCCACCTTCACGGTGGTCTGCGCTTATGTCTGGGTTTGTTTGGTTCAGTCGGGGGACGAAAGGATTCATTTTCTGATTAACGTGGATTGCAGATCTCGTCTGGATCCTTCAGTTCCTTGGACGTACTTTGGTAACTGCATCGGAAATCGGGTAGTGAAAGCAGAAAGAGATGATCTACTAGAACATGATGCAATTGCTAAGGCTGCGAAGTTGATAGAGGAGAAAACTAAGCAGCTGGAGAAGGGAATCTTTGATGGTGCAGAATTCTGGCTTTCACACATCTTATCCGCAGGCGCTGATCCCAAGTTTGGAGCTGCAGGATCAAACCATCTAGGTTTCTATGAGGCAGATTTTGGATGGGGGAGACCTAAGAAGGTGGAGTTGGTATCCATTGACAGATCAGGACTCCTTTTTATTGCAGAGAATCCCAACGATCGCGGTGGGGCTGAGATCAGTTTGACACTCGAGAAGCACGAAATGGATGTCTTCTCTTCCATGTTTTGTAATGGTCTTAGCGCTGGAGGTAATACCTCGAAATACTCTAGGCTTTGAAGCTTACAATTTGCACACGCAACTTCGCTTGTGTCCTTTGTATCCGTACTGTATTTCAGAAACTCAAAGAGTTGAAAAACACAAAATTTACCGGTTCTTAGAGTTGATAGACATGATGCTTCTCAGGTTGGTGAATATTTAATTGATCCGTGTTAACGAACCCGGGTTTCCTGCACTTGGTATGGTGTGGGACGTGGTACACTTTCAATGAGATTCAGCCACGTCCCACTCCACATGCATTCCCAATTCACACGTGTAGATGTGGCTAACGGTAAGGTTAAGGGTGTTAGTCTTCAATTACTTTTTTTGATATCTTAAAAATAAGAAAAAGGTGAAGAAAAAATAGGAAAATTGACTGCCTAGTCAAAATAGGAAAGAGGCTAAACAAAAAAAGGAAAGTGAAGCTTTTTTAAATCCAGACGCCAATTTTTAGAAAAGTGAAAAGTGTTTCTTCTTTGGGTGGCATTGAGAGAAGAGATTTGCTAAGAACGGTGGAAAGTGGTTTTTTGGGGAGCATTAACAAGGAATTTGCAGTTGTTTGAACAGTACATCTGTACTGTTTATAGATTGATTCTGTATACATCTGTACTTTAATCCCACCGAACCACTGCTATTAAGTTTGAATTATTTTAACCACACTAAATCTATGTTAGTGTGATAAATAGTTTAGAGAGTTGAAATCTCAGCCCATATTCTTAACTATTTGATGGACATGTTTAGAATCAATTTTGTATTAAATAGTTACAACTTTATGGCTACTATCATTTGGAAGTCTTTTTACAAAAAAAAAAAAAAAAACTCAACCCAGGAATAAAGATTTGTCAATAGCAATGTTTTAAAAAATGACCTGGAAATGGAACCAGCCACTGGTTTTCGGGTGGTCGGTTTAATCGTTCAATTCGAACAAATGGCCCGTTCTAACAAATAAAATAAAAAAATAATTAAAAATAAACAATGGTCAAAACCATTGAAGGGGTCGATGGGTCGATCATTCGACCGTTTAGGTCAACGGGTTGGCTTTTTCAATATTTTTTGACAAAAAATCGGGTTTAGGGTAAAACAGAACCGTTTGCTTAGACGGTTCCCGAGCCAAACAGTCTGATCGTCGGGGTCAACAGCGGTTTGAAAACCTTGGTAAATAGTAACTATGTTGCAAAGCATCCATGCTCTTAATTGTCAAAGAAATCTTTGTTTGTTACATGCATGTCTCTCTGTCACTATCACCGTTAAAACATCCAATGCTCTTAAACTGTGCATTGAAGAAGCATGTTTTGTAACGATCATTTAATGGATGGTAAAATGGGTCATAACCATGGTTTTCAAAATCAGACTGGACCAGACAGTTGGACCGGAAAAACCAAGAATCAGTCAGGTGACCAGTTCCGGTTTTTTCCAAAACTGGATTTTCCATAAAAACGATTGATTTTGGTCAGCAAACTGCTGACCCGGGCAGTTAACCGTACAAACAGTTTTGATCGGTTTTCATTTTTTTAAGCTTTTTTTTTTGTCAAAACGGGCCGATCGTACTCGATAATTAGAGACCTCTGACTGTTTCGGTCTCCGGATCGGTTTTAAAAACCATGCATATAACAGTTCACTCAAGCAGATTAAGTTTTAAAAACCATGCATGTTAACCACTCTCCACCGTTCTTAGCAAATCTCTTCTCCCAATGCTGCACAAAGAAGAAACACTTCACTTTTCTGAAAATTGGTTGTTAATGGCGTCTGGATTTGAAAAAGCTTTAGTTTTCTTTTTTTTGTTTAGCCTCTTTCTTATTTCGACTGGGCAGTCAACTTTCCTATTTTTTCTCCACTTTTTTCTTATTTTTAAGATATCAAAAAAAGGAAATTGGAGACTAACACCCCTAACCTTACCGTTAGAACACATCTGCACATGTAAATTGAGAATGCATGTGGAGTGGGACGTGGCTGAATCTCATTGGAAGTGTACCACGTCCCACACCATACCAAGTGCAGGAAATCCGGGTTCGTTAGTAAGAATAAGATGAAGGGCGGTTATCTTTATATATAAAATTTGGTTTGATGGTCATGTAATTCTCTCTCTCTCACAGCTTTGAAGGGATTAGGATGATAGTGGTAGGGGTGTCAATTGGACTGGATTTGGTCCAATCCGATCCAGTTCAATGTGAGTCCATTATAAATAGATCAGGTCTAATCCAATGAATTGGACCGGTCCAATTCAATGTTTGAACCGTCCAGTCTGTTTTTGATTTAGATTGGTTCAACCTAAATCTGGTCCATTGATACATATTTTTATCTTATATTTAATAGACCAGATATTGATTTATCTAACCTAATCCAATATAAATTTGTTACGGATGGATCAGGTCCAATCCAATATATTTTATTGGTCTGTCCAATCCATCCAAATTGATTTTTAACTGAATGGAGTCAAATCCAAAACGGGTCCATTGACACCCTTAGGTGGAGGTTTTGAGCTTAATCGTTAACCTAACCTGATCTGATCTGCATTGGACCGACTCATGTCTATTATTAATTTAATTAATTAATTGAGAAAACTAAGCAGTTGGAGAAGGGAGTTTTCGATAGTGCAGAGTTCTGGCTTTCGGACTTGTGATCTTTAGGAACTCACCCCAACTTTAGCTGCTGGGTCAAACCATATGGGTTTTTATGAGGCAGATTTTGGATGGGGGTGACCTAAGAAGGTGGAGTTGGTATCCATTGACAGATTAGGAGCCATTTTTTATTGCAGAGAATCCCAACGATCGTGGTGAGGCTGAGATCAATTTGACACTCAATAAGTACGAAATGGATCTCTTTGCCTCCATGTTCTTTTAGGCTGAGTTTGAAGGAGTATAAATTCAAATACTAGAGTGCAAAACTTTATATTTTGTATTATTTTGTATATATTTATCTCATACATATTTGCACTTGTACTGTTTCCAAACTCAGCCTTAATGATCTTAGCGGTAAAGATAATTTCTTCTACCTCTGTAGGCTTTATAAAGCTTTGCAGTTCGCATTTGTAGTCTCTACCAAAGGATTTTCCAAGTACTTTAATTATATGCCAAGAAAATGGTCTGTTAATTCCAGAGACCCAAAGAGTTCAAAAGCACCGAAATTAGCATCTATTGGAGTTGATAGATAGAATCCTTCATCTCACTCACAGCGTTGGTGAATATAGTAATTACATTGCTTTCAATGCATCTCACGTCAGTTGATTAAGGTGATGTATGGCATCGATACCGTTTTTTGATAAAATGACATCATGCAGGTACCATATCATAGAAAGCAGTGATTCAAACAACACTCTCTTGTTTGATATCATTTTTTCAGAAAAACGTTGCTCTAAACCATATCTTAGAAATCCAAAAAGTGTGGCTTGGAATAACATCAAATTCAATGTTTTTGAGAAAATTCTGTATCCGTGCCAATGGTATAATAATGTGGCATCATCTTAGACGTTGGATAAATAGACCAATGTTGAATACGTTGTTGCCAACACTGTTTTCTCATATAATAGCCTATGTGACATTACCCATTTATTCCAAACAAAAAATTTTAAAATTTAAGATAAAGGGTGATTATATTTATATGTAAATATTCAATTTATATCGCTTCTAAACTCTAATCACGGTTAAACTCTCTCTCACTTTATAGAATTGTATACACGCATAACTAATAAAATTTTAAGACTTTTATTTGACCCGGCTAAGAAAGCTCTTTATTTGATCCAACTATGAAGCCATGAGGGGCCACTCCTTTTTGAAGTGCAAACTAGCAAATGACTCCGTATTAAGTACGGGGAAGCTACACGAATGTGTCATCTTGGTTTTTTTTTTTACTTTTTTTGTTTTTATAATAATATTATTTTATTTGAGATTCACTATTTTTTAATAATTATATTTAATTTAAATAATTAAATCAAGTTGAATTTATAATTTAAAAGCCTTCATAATGACTTTTATTTGAATTAGGAAATTGAACTATAAAGATTTATTTGACCCCATACATTTTGGAATAGAAACTTTTTTATGATAGCTATTTGTTTAAAGTTAGTATTTTGTGTTAAAAGTGTACTTAACTATTCTCATTTTTTTTAGTGTGGATAGACACATGGATGTATGAGGAATGAAGCTTCTATTTAAAAGTGGAAGGTACCCATTTTTTGTAAACTATTTCTAGAAAAAAGTAGAATGTTGTATATATGTCTGAAGGCTCTCTAATGAATGACCTCATATTGAAAACAAAGAAATTCACTCTTATGAATAAAGATTAAATTTTAACATATAACCCTGCTAAATTTGATATCCCACATTTGACATGATCCTATATTTAGTATGAGAAATTTACTCTTATGCATGAAGTTTGATAAACACATACAAAACTTGCCAAGTTTTCTAATTAGATAGAATTTTTAGGTCAATAGGGTGAATAATTATCTTTGAACATTAAGGTAATTCATATTGAGAAAAGTTGCACAATTAATTTAAGATAATTAATTTATATTAATTATTTAATTTATAAAGTTTTTCATTAATAAACATATCTGTAGTAATTTATTATTAATTTAGATATGCTTTCCCCGACCCTAATGACCTTGCAATATTGCAGATATATTAAGTCTATATATGATCATTTATGACCCAACTTGGGTAACTATTTTTCTTTTAGGCATTGGGTTGGATTGGACCTCAACCAAGTTCCAAACATAATGCAATATGGGCTCTAGCCAAGAAAACCATTGGCTTGAAAGTTATGTACATATAAATAATATATGTGTGTGTGTGCAATATGGTATAATATGTATATATCTATTTTTTGTGCCAAACTGTTTTACTCATTTTCTGAGCTTGACTTGTTAAAACAGGTCCATGAGAACTTAAACCATAAATAAGCTTAAAAAAACAATTTTATAATCCATATATGACCACCACCTATTGAAATTAAGATAACTGTTTCCACCATTTAGGTGAATCTCACCAGGTCTCAATGGCAATTGGCACGAAAATGCAAGG